TCTTTCAGTTTTTCAATTTTGTTTTTACAGTTATTCAGCTTTATAATCTTCGGATTTTTATTTCTTCAGTCTTTTGAGTTTTCAATTTCTCAATTTTAAAATTTTTCGATTTTTCAATTTTTCGATTTCGCAATGTTTTAATTTTACATTTTTTTTTTCGTTTTCTTGACTTTTCAGTTTTTCTTATAATTATTCGTTTTGTCATTTCTCGATTTTTAATTGTTCATTTTTCCAATTCGATATATTTTTTTTGGTTTTTCGATATTTATGTTTGCATTTTGTTAATATCAAATTTTTTTCTTCAATTTTTTGAGCTTTTAAATATTCATTTTTTCAATTTTTCAATTTTTTGATTTTTCAGTTTTAAAATTTTTCGATAGTCAATTTTGCAATGGTTCGATTTTTCGGTTTTGAATGTTTTAATTTTACTTTTGTACATTTTTCATTTTCTCAATCTTTCAATTTATAATTTTTTTGATTTCTCAATTGCAGGATTTCTTGATTAAATTACTCACTTCTTCAATATCGTGATTTTCAGTTTTTCGATTTTTTCATCACTTTTTCAATCGATTTTTCCATTTTTCAATTTTAAAACTTTTCGATTCCCAAATTTTTACAATGTTTTACTAATTTTACAACTTTTCGTTTTCTTAATTTCTCAATTTCTTCACTTCTTTTTGGATTTCTCATTTATTCGGTGTTTCATTTCTCGGTTTTTAATTATTCATTTCTTCGATTTCTTGACTTTCAAATTTTCAGATTTTTTATTTTTCTTTCAGTTTTTCAATTTTATGTTTTTGCAGTTATTGAGCTTTTTCATCTTCGGATTTTTATTTTTTCAATCTTTTGAGTTTTTAATTTTTAGATTTTTCAATTTTAAAATTTCGCAATTCTCAAATATTAAAACTTTTTAATTGTCAAAGTTTTAAAACTTTGATTTTTCAATTTTACAATGTTTTAATTTTACAATTTTTCAGTTACTTGACTTTTGAATGTTTCAATCTTCTTATTTTCGGTTTTCGATTTTTCAGTTTCTTGCTTCTTCAGTTTTTAATATTTAATTTTCTGATTTTTATTTCTACATTTTTTTGAGTTTTTAAATTTATCACTTTTTCAATTTAAAAATTTTTCGATATTCAATTTTTCAATTTTTCGATTATTGAATGTTTCAATTTTACTTATTTGCAATTTTTCGTCTTCTCGACCTTTCAATTTGGCGCCATTTTAATGTTTAAATTTTATAATTTTGTAATTTTTGGATTTCTCAGTTGCTCGATTTTTCATTTTTTCTTTAATTGTTCACTTTTTGATTTTTTAATTTTGCAATGTTTGGATTTTACAATTTTTCGATTTTTGAAAGTTTTAATTTCACTTTTGTTTCCCTTTTCTTATTTTTGGATTTCATAATTAAGCGACTTTTCATTTCTCCATTTTTAATTGTTCATTTTTTGATTTCTTAGTTTTCAGTTTCTCAATTTTTTAATTTTTCTTTCAGTTTTTCGATTTTTCCATCGTTCAGTTTTTCTAATATTTTATTTTTGCAAGTTTTCAATTTTTAATTTTCCGATTTTTCTTCAAATTTTCGAATTCTCAGTTTTTTAAATTTTGTATGTTTGAGTTCTACAATTTTTCAGTTTTGGGTGTCTTATTTTAACAATTTCTCTTTATCTTAATTTTTTAATTTTAAATCTTGTAACTTTTGAATTTCCCAATTATTAATCGTTTTGTGATTTCTCAACTTTTAATTGATAATTTTTTCAATTTTGTGATTTCCAATTTTATTCAGTTTTTAGATTTCTTAATTTTTGATTTTTCAGTTTTCGATATTTATGTTTCCTTTTTTAATTTTTAATTTTCTGATTTTAAATTCTTCCATCTTTCGAGTTTTCAATTTTTCGATTTTTTAATTTTTAAATTTTTCGATTTTTCAGATTTCTAATTCTCAATTTTTGAATTGTGAACGTTTCAATTTTACAATTTTTCTTTTTCTTAATTTTTCAATTTCTTGGCTCAATTTTTCAATTTTGTAATTTCTGGGTTTCTCAATTATTCGGTCTTTCATTTCCTGGTTTTTAATTGTTCATTTTTTCGATTGCTTGATTTTCACATTTTAAATATTTTTATTTTTCTTTCAGTTTTTTAATTTTTTGTTTTTGCAGTTTTTCAGTTTTAATTTTCCTATTTTTATTTTTTCAGCCTTTCGAATTTTCAATTTTTCAAATTTTTCGATTTCTTGATTTTCTAATTTTACATTTTTTTATTTTTGTTTCAGTTTTTCTATTTTTTGTTTTTGAAATTTTTCAGTTTTAATTTTTCGATTTTTATTTTTTCAATCTTTTTGAGTTTTCAATTTTTCAATTTCACAATGTTTTAATTGTAATTTTTGGATTTCTCTATTATTCGTTGTCATTTCTCGATTTTTAATTGTTCATTTTTTCAATTTTTTGATTTTTTTTTTAGTTTTTCGATATTTATGTTTGTATTTTTTTAATATTTAATTTTCTGATTTTTATTTAAATTTTTTGAGTTTTTAAATTTTCACTTTTTCAATTTTAGAATTTTTCAATATTCAATTTTGCAATGTTTCGATTTTTCGATTTTTAGACGTTTCAATTTTATGCCTTTTTAATTTTATAATGTTGTCATTTTTAGATTGCTCGATTTTTCATTTCTGGTTTTCCATTTTTCACTTTTTTGACTTCTTGATTTTCAATTTTTCAATTTTTGTTTGTCATTTAAGTTTCCGATTTTTGATTTTTGCAAATTTTTCAATTTTTAAATTTCGATTTTTCTCAAGCTTTTGAATTTTCAGTTTTACAGTTTTTCAGTTTTCAAATTTGTCAATTTTTCAATTCTGCAATTTTCCGTTTTCTTAATATTTCAATTTTTTTACTTTCTAATTTTTAAATTTTGCAATTTTGAGAGTTTTGGATTTCATGATTACGCGACTTTTCATTTCTCGATTTTTAATTGTTCACTTTTTTGATTTCATGATTTTAAATTTCTCAATGTTTTAATTTTTCTTTCGGTTTTTCAAACATTTTATTTTTGTAATTTTTCCATTTTTAATTTTCCGATTTTTCTCCAACTTTTCAATTTTTCAAATTTCCGAATTCTCAGTTTTTTAATTTTGAATGTTTGAGTTCAACAATCTTCCAGTTTGGGTGTCTCAATTTTACAATTTCTCTTTTTCTTAATTTTTCAATTTCTTGACTTCAACTTTTCAATTTTATAATTTTTGGGATTCTCAATTATTTTACTCTTCGTTTCTCGATGTTGAATTGTATATATTTTCGATTTCCTGATTTTCAATTTTTTCAATTTTTTATTTTTCTTTCAGTTTTTCGCTTTTCTAATGTTTTAATTTTTCAGTTTTTCAATATTGTTTTTTTTTCAGTTTTTCAGTTTTAATTTTATAATTCGTATTTCTTCAATCTTTTGAGTTTTGAATTTATGAACTTTTAAATTTTTCGGCTTTTCAGTTTTTCAATGCTTCTAATTTTACAATTTTTGTTTTCTCAATTTTTTAATTTCTTGTCTTTTTTATTAAAAAAAAAATTTTGAATTTCTCAATTATTCGTTTTGTAATTTCTCAATTTTTAATTGATCATTTTCTTTCATATTCTTAATTTTTGATTTTTTTGTTTCCTTTTTTTAATTTCTGATTTTAATTTCTTCCATCTTTTGAGTTTTTAAATTTTCACTTTTTCGGTTGTTCAGTTTTAAAGTTTTTCGATTTTTTTTTTTCAATTCAACCTTTTACAATTTTTTTGATTTTTTTGTTTCCTTTTTTTAATTTCTGATTTTAATTTGTTCCATGCTTTGAGTTTTTAAATCTTCACTTTTTCGGTTATTCAATTTTAAAGTTTTTCGATTTTTTTATTTCAATTCAACTTTTTTAGAATTTTTCGTTTTCTCGATTTTTTAATTTCGTGCCTTTATAATGTTTAAATTTTATAATTTTGCATTTTTTTGGATATCTCAATTGTCCGGTTTTTCACTTCTTGATTGAATTGTTCACTTCTTCGATTTCTTGATTTTCAATCTATCGATTTTTCCTCAATTTTTTCGATGTTTTAATTTTGTAATTTTCCACTTTTTGATTTCTTCAATAGATTTTTCGATTTTTCAATTTTAAAATTCTTCAATTATGTGATTTTTGGATTACTCAATTTTAGTTGTTCAATTTTTCGATTTTTCTTCCAATATTTCGATTTTTTAATTCAGTAATTTGTCAATTTTAGTTTTTCAAGTTCGCAATTTTTAATTTATCAACTTTTCGACAAAAAGAACAAACTTATTGAAATGAAATTTTGAAAAATCGAAACTACAGAATTCTAGTACAAAATGAAAAACTCGAATGATCGAGAAACTGAAAATTAGAAATTTCAAAAAGTCGGACAACTAAAAAATTGAAAAATCGCGAAGTTGTAAAACTGAAAAGTCGAAACATCGGTAAATTGAAAAATTGAAAAAACGCAACACGGAAAAAATTCAAAAATCGAAAACTTGATCTAAAAATGGCATAACTGATAAAAATCGTAAAAGCGTAAAACTGAAGAATTTTGAAAACTTCAAAATCGGTTCCAGTTAAAAGTGCTAAAAAAATGAAACAAAAAATATTTGAATTTGTGGCCAAGGAAGGCGGTTTTTCACCACAGGACATTCTTATTTAAAATAATCATGCTTATGCAACCAACAATACGCATCATTGGTTGCATAGTAATATAATATATTTATGTTTTAATAAAAAACATGCAATAACTAATTATTAATATATCTTTACAAATTCTTTCTAAACGTAAACGACTATGTTTTGTTTGAATTAACGTCAAATTGAACTTAATTTGTTTTTAGATGAATCTAGAATACTCAATTTAGGCAACCATCAATACATGCCTGTTTAAAAATAATGCACTTACCTGTTTCGTCGGTGAGTAATTTAAAGAACATCTTCATGAACACAATTCAATTTCATTGTTCTAGAATAAAACTCCACATATTTGAAATAAATTTATTAAGAAATTTTAAGGTCATCCTATGACAGATTTACAATTTACATTTGTTTAAAGTGTAGAATACATTTTATTGCATGTATCACTCAAAATAGTCTCCGTACATCCGGCTGTCGTCGTTCCTGTGCTTCCTACCAACAAAATCGCCATAAACAAACAAAAAGCTTACTTTACAATACTGTTATAAAAATCGCAATTGACTCATAACGACACTAAAAAAATCAGTTACATAAAAACTGGTACAGTCACCTAAATACAAACTATTTTACATTAACATTATTGACGTACATGAGAACGCTTCTTACGATTCATTTATACAATAAGTTACTCTATTGAATTTATACTATTTACATTATTTACCAGAAATCCAGCCATCCAAAACGCATCATCTTTTAAAATTTATAAAAATAATAGTCAAATCAGTGTAGACTCTAAGAGCAAAACATTACACATATGGCACAAATGCTCCAGTACTGTACGTACTCTGGAATGCAGTGGCGTTTTAGAAAAAGGTACTCATGTTAGGCAAGACCAGTACACTTTCAGAATCGCCTCGTTACTAATATCCCCAAAGGATGGAACTAGTTTATTGTACTCCTATTCATACAAAATAAATATGTTAGTAGCCGTCTCCTTACACCCTAAACATTACTAATTTTATAATACAATGAGTAAATTTAATCCGATCTTTGTAAAATACAATAACAAAATAGAATTTTATCAAACACCTAAAAATATATAGACTATAACATTCAAAGTCGCGAGAATGCAAGTGTGGAATTGTAGATTGTACTCAATGGAATGTTTGGTTGGGTAGATGTGAGAATTCAATTGAGCATTCACCTACACTGGGTTCTTTCTAACCTCACTTTTAAATATCATCCGGCTTTGTTCGCGTTTCAGTTGTAAAAGACACCCAGAGTGTAGCTTCGAGTACTTCAGCTAAGCTAAGCTTACAAACAAAACTAAGCATTGGTGGGACGATCAAATTTTTTTATTGAGCGTCGGGTCACTACAGTAAGCTTGCTCGAAAACAGGAACCAGAAGCGTCAGCTGAATGCTAAAACTGTCAAGTCTTTCTGAATAACATTAGGTTTCTTATTTAAATATCCAATACTGACATTTAAGAGAATCAAAAATATTTATAATATTTCCTTAGTACGTAATGACGTAGAAAGTGTTTTTATGAATAGTTTGATACAATATTTATAATTCATTTAATTTAAGTTAAGAAACGCAGCACTTTTTAGAATTTTGCTTCAATAATAGTTCCATATGCAGAATGATTTGTACATGTTCTTGTTATATATTAGAAAAATATTTTCGTTGTTTTTTGCTACTAAATCAGGCTTTACTTGAAAAAAATTAAATGCAGTTTATATACGGGGTGATTTATTTGAGGCGATTAAATTGTTCGTTAACCTATTATACAACCAAATTAGTAATAAAAGTAACATATACTTACAAATAAGCAAGTTTGGTCGTCTTGAATGAATCACCCTGTATATCACGTAATTGTTAGTTTTAATCAGTAATAAAATCATTCTGCACTGCCAACCCACGAAAAAATTAAAATTATAAAAATAACCAAATTATAACTAGAGTGTCTCCTAAAACATACGAATTTTCACAAACGTCAAAATTTGTATGACCTAGGACCACTTTTTAACAACACAGATATCGTAGAGTACGTATTCATCTAATTCTGATTGTTCAAAAATTTAGATGCATAATTATCTCACTCACAGCGTAGGTAACCAAAACAAATGATTGACATAGAATGCTGTAACACCTGCCATTTGTACATAACCTCAAATTTTACAGCGCATAAAAAATGAGGTTTTCCATCAACAACCAATCACAGCTGTTCACGCTACCCCGACCCAACCGACAAAAGTGCCACTCCCCGTCAACCCGTAAAAAACTACCAATCCCCGCACCGAGTGGCACTCCTGTCCGCCGAGCCCCCCCTACAAGCTAAGCCACACCTACTTCAAGTCGAACTCCGGACTCTCCACCCTGAAGTGCTTGATCCGCCCATGCTCCACCAGCGGCGTCGGCAGTTCATCGTTGTCCACCTTGATCCTGATCCTGTTCGTGTCGGGGAACGAGCACGGGATGATTTTCTGCACGTCCCCGTTGTGGGGGCTGGCGATGGGCGTCTCCAGCGGCGAGTAGGGCACGTAGATCCGCAGCACGTCGGGGCTGGGGTTGTGGGGCGTGGCCCTGGGCGTGGAGTGCGAGCTTAACGCCCGCTGCACGCTGCTCGACGCGCCGATGCCCGAGCCCACCGAGCTGGCCCCGCCCACCGAGTTGTCCGACATGTTGCTGTGGGTGTCGAGGCTGTTCTCGTGCGCCTGCGAGCGCGTCACCGTCGAGAACACCGACAGGTCGGCCGTCGAGGTCACGCTGGTGTCGGCGAGGGAGCGCCGGGAGCCGGTGTGCTCGCAGTCTAAGAGCGAGCTGGCGTCGTCGATGCTGGGATCGAACGAGAACTTTGAACCTGGAAGCGGGCGGAGACATGAGTCGCTGGAGGCGGGGCGAGCGGGAGGAGGCGCTATGGATGATGAGGCTTTGTTAGTGGTTAGTCGTGGTGATGGCGTGTTAATGCGGCCGTCGATGTTGAATGCATTCGGTTTAGGCGAGAACGAGATAGAGCGAAAGGGGTGAGTTATAAGCGTTGAGGCGGTCGATTGATGAAGTATGATTATTTACAAGTTTTTGTGGATTTTTATCTTTTTTAATTAGTACTATGACAAAGCATAGCACGAAGTATCGAAGCTTGTAATGCATGTCAGGTTAGGTCCAGTCAGATTAGGTAGTCAGGTCAGGTCAGAACTGGCCTGGCTAGTTCAGATCAAGATTTTTAAATGTTTCAATATAACTTTTATCCAATTTTTCGTTTTCTCAATTTCTCAATTCCCCGAATTTTTATTTCTCGATTTTAATTGTTTTAAGATTCCTTGTTTTCAATTTTCCAATTTTTCTACTTTTCAGTTACTCAATTTTTCGATTTTGCAATATTTCGATTTTTGAATATTTCAATTTCACTTCACAATTTTTCGTCTTCTCAATTCTTCAGTTTCTTGACTTTTTATTTTTAAATTTTAGTATTTTGAAATTTTTTGATTTCGTAATTCGCGGATTTCCCATTTCCGGAACTTGATTTTTCAGTTTTCAGTTTTTTATTTTTGCAATTTTTCAAATGTTAATTCTACGAATTTTATTTCTCCAATCTTGAGTTTTCGTCTCTTCACTTTCAATTCTTCAATTTCTCGATTTTTTATTTTTCATTGTTTCAACGTTACAATTTATCTTAATTTTAAAATTTTTCGTGTTTCCAATTTTTGGATGTTTTGATTTCCCAATTTTTCGACATTTCAGTTTTGGGATTTTTCAATATTTCAATTTCTCGATTTTTCAAAATTTTGAATTTTTAGATTTCAGATTTTTCAATTTTTTGATGTTTCGATTTTAGATTTTTTGTTTTTAAATTTATTCATTTTTAAAATTTTTGGTTTTTTGATTTATCGAGATTTCGATGCTCTTTTATATTTTTCTCGAATTTTCGATTTCTCGATCCTTTGCTGTGTTGATTTTTCAATGTTTCGACATTTCAGTTTTTCGATTTTTCAATTTTTCGATTTTAAAATTATTCAATTTTTAAATTACAATTTTACTTTTTTACAATTTTTCACTTTTTCAGTTTTTCGATTTAAAATTTTTCGATCTTCCAGTTTCTCAATTTTTCAATAGTTCAAAATTGTGGTTTTTGGATTTTTGAATATTTCAATTTTACTTGTTTCTTCAATTTATTGACCTTTCAATCTTTTATTTTTTCAGTTTTGAGAATTTTGAATTTCTCATTTCCTGAGTTTAATTGTTCAGTTTTTCGATTTCTTGATTTTCATATTTTAAATTTTACAATTTTGTAATTTTTGAATTTTTGAATTCCCCGATTTTTCAATTTTAAATTTTTCGAAGATATTTTGCTATTTTTTTCAAATTTTAGTTTTCCGAATTTTATTTCTTCAAGCTTGAGTTTTCACATTTTCACCTTTTCCATTTTCACATTTTCACCTTTTCCATTTTCAAATTTTTCGATTTTACTTCTTTTGAATTTTTCGTCTTCTCAATTCTTCAATTTTTTCACTGTTTATTTTTAAAATTTACAAGTCTGAAATTTTTGGATTTCGCATTTCCCGATTTTAGTTCTTCAGTTTTTCGATTTCTTGATTTTCAATTTCAGAATTTTTTGATTTTTCAGTTTTTAAAATGTTAATTTTTCGAATTCTATTTCTTCAATCTTGAATTTTAATATTCCCATTTTTTCGATTTTTCAGTTTTTCAATGTTTCAATTTTTAAATTTTACAATTTTGTAATTTTTGATTTCTGAATTCCAGATTTTTTCTCGACTTTTCAATTTTAATTTTTGGATTTTATTTTGCTATTTTTTTAATTTTTAATTTTCTGACCGTTATTTCTTCAATCTTGAGTTTCCAAATTTTCACTTTTTCCTATTTCATTTTAAAATTTTTGGATTTTTCAAATTTTCATTTTCTCAATTTTGCATTATTTCAATTTTACAATTATTCAATTTTCAAATGTTACAATTATACTTTTATACAATTTTTCGTTTTCTCAGTTTTTGAATTTTTTGATTTTTGAATTTTTAAATTTTTCAGTTTTATTATCTTCAATCTTGAGTTTTCAGATTTCAGCTTTCTCCATTTTCAAATTTTTCAGTTTCTCAATTTTTCGATTTTGCAATGTTTCAAATTTACGTCTGTCCAATTAATCAATTTCTTGATTTTCTAATTTTTAAATTTTATAAATTTTTTCTCATTTTCCGATTTTAATTGTTCAGTTCTCCGATTTTTTGATTTTAGAAATTTTCAGTTTTCCGATTTTTCAATTTTAGAATTTTATTTTCTAGTTTTTCGGCTTTTTATTTTTGTTATTTTTCTCAAATGTTAATTTTTCGATTTTATAATTATTCGATTTTTCAATGTTACGATTTTACTTACAATTTTTCGTTTACTCATTTTTTAATTTCTTGATTTTTCAATTTTTAAATTTTACAATTTTGTTATTTTTCAGTTTTTCGATTTTATTTTACTATTTTTTCAATTTTATTTCTTCAATCTTGAGTTTTCTGATTTTCACTTTCACCATTTTCAAATTTTTCGATTTTTCAGTTTCCAATTTTTCGGTTTTGCAGCATTCGAAAGTTATGAATTTTCGATTTTTGAATATTTAAATTTTACTTCTGTCCAATTTTTTGACTCTCAATTCTTCAATTTCTTGATTTCCTAATTTTTAAATTTTACAATTTTAAAACTTTTGGATCTCTCATTTCCCGATTTTTCAATTTTAGAATTTTATTTTTCGGATTATTTTGAGTTTGCAAATTTTCAGTTTTTCATTTTCAAATTTTTCGATTTTTCAAATTTTCAGTTTTCGATTTTCTCAATTTTGTAATATATCGATTTTACAATTATTCGATTTTTAAATGTTACAATTTAATTTTTTTTACAATTTTTCGTTTTCTCATTTTTCAATTTTTAATTTTTACGATTTTGTAATTTTTGAAGTTCTGAATTTCCCGATTTTTCATTTCTCGATTTTCCAATTTTTTGATTCTTCGATTTTATTTTGTTATTTTTTCAATTATCAATTTTCCGAATTTTATTTCTTCAATCTTGAATTTTCAAATTTTCACTTTTTCCATTTTTAAATTTTTCGATTTTTGAATATTTCAATTTTACTTCATTTTTCATCTTTTCAATTCTTCAAGTTCTTGACTTTTTAAATTTAATTTTTTAAATTAACAATTTTAAAAATTTTTGGCTTTATCATTTCCCGATTTCAATTGTTTAGTTTTTCGATTTCTTGATATTGAATTTTTCAATGTTTCTTGGTTTTTCGATTTTTCAATTTTACTTTTTATTTTTCACAATTATTCGATTTTTAAATGTTACAATTTTACTTTTTTACAATTTTGTAATTTCTGAATTTTTGAATTCCCCGATTTTTCAGTTTTAAATTTTTCGATTTTATTTTGCTGTTTTATTTTTAATTTTCCGAATTTTATTTCGTCAATCTTGAGTTTTCAAATTTTCAATTTTTCCATTTTAAAATTTTTCAAATTTTCAGTTTTTCATTTTCTCAATTTTGCACTATTTCGATTTTTAAATGTTACATTTTTATTTATTTACAATTTTTGTTTTCTCATTTTTCAATTTCTGAATTCCCCGATTTTCATTTCTCGATTTTCCAATTTTTTGGTTCTTCGATTTTATTTCGTTATTTTTTCAATTTTTAATTTTCCGAATTTTATTTTTTCAATCTTGGGTTTTCAAATTGTTACTTATTTCATTTTCAAATTTTTCGATTTTACATTAATTCGCTTTTCGAATACTTCACGACGAAAAATTTGAAAGAAGTAAAATTTACTTCTTTCAAATTTTTCGTCTTCTCAATTCTCCAAATTCTTGACTTTTAAATTTTTTAAATTTACAATTTTGAAATTTTTGGATTTATAATTTCCCGATTTTAATTGTTCAGTTTTTCGATTTCTCGATATTCAATTTTTCAATATTTTTTGGTTTTTCGATTTTGCGGTTTTTCAAATGACAATTTTCCGAATTCTATTTCTTCAATCTTGAGTTTTCAAGTTTTCACTTTGTCGATTTCAATTCAATTTTTAAATGTTGCAATTTTGTAATTTCTGAATTCCCGGATTTTTTAGATTTAAATTTTTCGATTTTATTTTACAATTTTTTAATTTTTACTTTTCCGAATTTTATTTCTTCAATCTTGAGTTTAAGTTTACACTTTTTCCATTTTCAAATTTGTCGATTTTTCAGTTTCTCAATTTTTGGATTTTGCAATATTTCGATTTTTGTATTCAACTATTCTTCAATTTTGCTTCTTTCGAATTTTTCGTCTTCTCTCAATTCTTCAATTTCCTGACTTTTTATTTTTAAAATTTACAAGTTTGAAATTTTTGGATTTCTCATTTCCCGATTTTAATTCTTCAGTTTTTCGATTTCTTGATTTTCAATTTCAGAATTTTTTGATTTTTCAGTTTTTCAAATGTTAATTTTTCGAATTCTATTTCTTCAATCTTGAATTTTCATATTTTTATTTTTTCAGTTTTTCAATGTTTCAATTTTGCAATTTTCGATTTTTAAATTCTACAATTTTGTAATTTTTGAATTTCTGAATTCCCGATTTTTTTCTCGACTTTTGAATTCTAATTTTTTCGATTTTGGTTTGCTGTTTTTTTAATTTTTAATTTTCTGAACGTTATTTCTTCAATCTTGAGTTTCCAAATTTTCACTTTTTCCAATTTCATTTTAAAATTTTTGGATTTTTCAAATTTTCATTTTATCAATTTTGCAATATTTCAATTTTAATTTTTCGTTTTCTCAGTTTTTGAATTTTTTGATTTTTCGATTTTTAAATTTTATAGTTTTATAATTTTTGGAATTTCTGAATTCCCCGATTTTTCACTTTCTCGATTTTATTTTGACCCATTTTTCAATTTTATTTCTTCAATCTTGATTTTTCAGATTTCAGCTTTCTCCATTTTCAAATTTTTCAGTTTCTCAATTTTTCGATTTTGTAATGGTTCAAATTTACGTCTGTCCAATTTTTTGACTATCAATTCATCAATTTCTTGATTTTCTAATTTTTAAATTTTATAATTTGGAAATTTTTGGATTTCTCATTTTCCGATTTTAATTGTTCAGTCCTCCGATTTTTTGATTTTAGAAAATTTCAATTTTCCGATTTTTCAATTTTAGAATTTTATTTTCTAGTTTTTCGGCTTTTTATTTGTTATTTTTCTCCAATGTTAATTTTTCGAATTCTATTTCTTCAATCTTGAGTTTTCAAATTTTCACTTTTTCAAATTTTTCGATTTTATAATTATTCCATTTTTCAATGTTACGATTTTACTTTACAATTTTTCTTTTTCTCATTTTTTAATTTCTTGATTTTTCAATTTTTAAACTTTACAATTTTGTTATTTTTCAGTTTTTCGATTTTATTTTGCTATTTTTTCAATTGTATTTCTTCAATCTTGAGTTTTCTGATTTTCACTTTCTCCATTTTCAAATTTTTCGATTTTTCAGTTTCCAATTTTTCGGTTTTGCAGCATTCCAAAGTTCTATTCAATTTTTCAATATTTTTTGGTTTTTCGATTTTGCAGTTTTTTATTTTTGCTGTTTTTCAAATGACAATTTTCCGAATTCTATTTCTTCGATCTTGAGTTTTCAAGTTTTCACTTTTTCGATTTCAATTCAATTTTTAAATGTTGGAATTTTGTAATTTCTAAATTCCCGGATTTTTTAGATTTAAATTTTTCGATTTTATTTTACAATTTTTTAATTTTTACTTTTCCGAATTTTATTTCTTCAATCTTGAGTTTAAGTTTACACTTTTTCCATTTTCAAATTTGTCGATTTTTCAGTTTCTCAATTTTTGGATTTTGCAATATTTCGATTTTTGTATTCAACTATTCTTCAATTTTGCTCTTTCGAATTTTTCGTCTTCTCAATTCTTCACTTTCTCGACATTCGATTTTTCAATTTTAGAATATTTTGATTTTTCACTTTTCGGTTTTTATTTTTGCTAATTTTCAAATTTTGCAATGCATATTTACTTTTTACAATTATTCGATTTTTAAATGTTGGAATTTTACTCTTTAACAATTAAATAAATAAATAAAAAAATAAAAAATTCTTGTTTCGTTTTCTCAGTTTTTCAATTTAATTTGTAATTTTTTTATTTCTCAATTATCCATTTTTCGATTTTTATTGTTCACTTCTCAATTTCTTGATTTTCAATTTTTCAGTTTTTTATTTTTCTTATTTCTGTTTTTAAATTTGACCTGGTCAAGTCAAACCAGGTTACAACTGGTCTGCCCACGTCAGGTCAGGTCTGGTCAGGTCAAATCAGGTTAAAACAAGTCACGTGAACTGAATTTAGCCCAAAAATTTCAGATCCACATCAACACTGTTTTTAATTACAATATAAATTAAAAAATATATTATGTACATACTTTGAATAACTGTCAAATAAAAAACTTCCCTCAAAATATCACTTCAGGTGATTTTTTTACATATTAATACGAAGAAAAATAACACAAAAATATGAGAAACATTATGAAAACACACGGAAACACACCGAAAGTCCCCATTTAAATATATGTTCTCGCCCAACATACTCTCTTTGAAGCATTTTTTTTTTGCTAAAAATTGAAATTTAGTGGATTTTTCCTAAACAAAACATGAAAAAAAAGACACAAACACTTTTTTTGAAGTTTGCCTTTTAGTTGTCGCAATTTTTGAAAATAATTTAGACTGTGAGACGACACGAAATAAAAAATAAAGGCCACAAATTTTGGGAACCGCTGGCGTGTTCGCACATTACGAGATACCAAAGCAGTGACCCCCAAACAATTTTTAGTTCACGATATGCTTACTTGATTTCAAGATTTGGCCACAATTATGATTTTTTTGTTTTTAAAAAAGACAAAAACATACAGTGGTCGTATCAAATTGACTATACACAGTAAGATTAAGTTATAACATGGCGCCTCTACAAAATATATGTGCAAAAACAACAAATCGGAAAAAGCTACGTCTCCATAGACACAAACACTGAAAAAATACTCCAGAGAGAATGCATTCAACATAAAAGGCTTAAAGTATTAATAACAAAAAAGTTTATAAAAAGCCTTACCATATTTAATAGCAAAAATATACACTTTACACCAACCACTCGTGTTTACTAGTTTTTGAGACAACTAACGACACGCTCAAAAACTTTCGTTCATATTTTTACTAAACTTTTCCTTCTGCTTTAATAACGTCGTTGAACATCGTACTGATGTTTGACATAACCAAAATGGAATGTTTTGGACTGACGCAGCTCACCTTATCAATCCAAAACACCAGCGAATCTTAGGACAGGACTACGGGTAAACCAAAATAAATCTAAGTTGACGTGCAGACATGCAAAACCTACCAACATATTGCAGCTATGTCCCGTAGACGTAAACTCAAATGCTGATTTCAGGCAATACTAGAATAAATCATCCTATTTTACATTACTCGGTCGAAAAATAAACAGAATCTAAGAAAACACTGTGGCCCCAACACCAACACTGTTAATTGCGGAACAGGAAAGTAATAAAACATGCAGAGTTTTCGCACAAAACTTCCTATTTATTGGTAATAGAACGTCTTGTGAAAGGATTCCCACTCCCAGACACGATGAGCGATGTGGGAACGCGTCATGAGACCAAAACCAGGATATTGTAGGTATAAATATATTGAAGTGAAGTACAAGTATTGCTTTATCAAAATAATCACAATGCAGGCGGTCAATACAGGACTTAAGTACAAGTTACTGAGTATACAGCTAACATTCCAACAAGAGTATTATCGATCAAGCAACTACGAAACCTAAAAACAAAAACAAAACGGTTGACTGGTTCTTAAAATAATTTATTTTGTTCCTTACTCTGCGAATATTTACACTGAGTTTATTTACATAACTAAAAATACGTATCAAAAATAAATTGGCTTAAAAAAGTGGTCCGAAATGTGTGAAAGGAGCACGCCGTAAAATTGCTGCGTCTGCGCACGCGTTAAGATCCACCAACGCTGCTTTAACCCGTGACCAGACCCACAATCTCTACTAACTGGTTCTATTTCACTGATGAGGAATGTAAAAAATTATCGAAACTATTGGCACAACTTTAAACCGGTGCTCCTTTTTCGCTCCGACTGAAAAACTCGAAAACAAACCTAGACAGATCAAAGCCTTGTGCACTCGTCAACGCTACTTTCATCGCTATCACATAGACTAGTCTCGCTAGCAAACGTAATGACGCTACCGACTATAGAGTTATTATCTGTGTCTGTACCTGCAAGCCCTATGGATTCACCCACTGACAGTTGGCTCTCCTTCTCCCGCTCGGCTGCCTCTCGGGCCGCCTCGCTCACTAACGTCACGATCTGATTGGTGGCCTTCTCCTTCTCGGTGAACTGCTCGGCCCGAAAACCCACGATCTGCTCGAAGGTCGGCTCCTTGAAGACGCCGAACGGGCGAGTGGGCAGCTCGTCCTTGTGGGGTGGCCCGGGATGGTCGAGTTTGGCCTTTTTGAGCTCTTCCATCGACTTCTCGAGGTTGTGGACCACGACGTCGTCGTCGTACATGAAGTCTTTGTACAGCTTTACCTACAAGGCATGATTGAGCATTATAGGGTGACCCGATGTTAATTATCTCAATTACTGTCAATTTTGATTAATTGACCGGGGTCGTGTCACAGTGCTTGCACGCATTGATGGACGCGACTTTAACAATTGGAATTTAGCTGTGCCGAGGCACTGGAGCATTTCGAGAAGGTTACAATGGTGTAAAAAATTGTATGCTTTGTGGAATCAGGATCAGGATGAGGATGTTGCGGGATTTATGAATGTTGGTGTTGACAGGAATTCCATTGAAGCTGATAAGTCTGGCGTGATTTTGGGTGGGCGGATGGTGAGTAATGACGGTGAAGCATTTGAATAAATGAAAGATAAGGAGTGTAATTAAACCGCGGGTTTGGCTAATGAGTGGTGTAAACAAGAGTCGTGTTGTAATTATGCTAAGCCGGTAATTCGAATGATGAGTTCTAATTATAAATGTGAGAGAATTTTAGATGCAACGTATTACTAATTAAAAGTTTGTTGAAAATAAGAGTGTTTTCGTTAATTAATTAATTAGAAGTACTGTTAATGTGAGAGACTCAAATTTTGTAAAATAACGTACTCCTCCTCTACTTGTGGTTTATGAATCCGTGAAACTCCAGAGAGAAATTATAAACATTTTACAATTTGATGTCATCTTATAATTTTGTCGAATAAGTGTTATTTAAATGGTAGAAAGTAACATAATCCTAAACTTGTCGTTTATGAATCCGTGTTGAATTTTTATCATACTTAAAAAATTCTCGATTTTCATTTTCGATTACTTGATTTTTCAATGTTTCAATTTTAGGATTTTTCAATGTTGCGATTCCTCAATTTCCAGATTTTTCAATTTTTTGGCGTTTCTAAATTTTCGATCGATTTTTCGATTTTTTAGTACATCAATTCTTCAATTTTTAGATATTTCAATATCTCAATTTTTCAATTATCCCGTTTTTCGATTTTTTCTTTTCTTGATTTTTTATTTTGCACTTCTTTGTGTTTACAATTTTTAGGTAATTTAATTTTTCCAATGTTTCCATTTTTTAATATTTCATTGTTCAGCATTAGTTTTTAATTGTAAAATTTTTTGATTTTTCGATTTTTCAAATTTTTTAACCCTGGATTTTTAATTTTTTTAAATTTTCGATTCTTCAATTTTTAGACATTTTAATTTTTGAATTTTTCAATGTTTGGATTCTTCAATTTTTCGCTTTTTATTAAATTTTTACCTTTTCGATTTAGGGCAATTTCGATTTCTCCGATTTTTCGACTTCCCAATCTTTTCATTTTTCGATTCATCGATGTTTAATTTTTTTATTTTTTTTTTAATTTTTCGATGTTTCCATTTTGCAGTTTTCTAATTTCGCGATTTTTCGACATTTCAGTTTTAGGATTTTTCAATTTTTAGACTTTTTAATTTTAGTTTTTGCGATTTTAAATTTTCCAATTTTCATTTTGGAAAAATAAAAAAATCGACGTTTTTTATTTTTCAATTTGTCGAATTTCTAAACTTTAGAATTTTCAATTTCCTGGTTTTTCGATATGTCTTCTGAATTTCATGTTCTTCGGTTTTTAGATTTTTCGACTTTCAGATTTTTGAATTTTTGAATTTTTCACTTTATCGAGATTCCGATTTTTCGCTTTTTAAATTTTTCTATTTTTCCTGAGTTTCAAATACGTCTTTTTTCAATTTTAATTTTTCGATTTTGGATTTCTACATCTTTTCATGTTTTCATTTTCTCAATTTTTCGATTTCTAGGTTTTTCGATGTTTCAATTTTAGGATTTCTCGATTTTTTTGATGTTGCGACTACTCGAATTTTCGATTTTCCGGATTTCAATTTTTCGGGTTTTCAGTTTCGTGGATTTTTAAAAAATATTCTTTTTATCGATTTTTCAATTTTTGGATTTTTGAAATTTTTTGATTTTTCAATTTTTCGATTTATCGAGATTTCGATGTTTCGGTTTTTAATTTTTCTATGTTTCTTGAGTTTCAAATATGTCTTTTTTCAATTTTAATTTTCCGATTTTGTATTTCTGCATCTTTTAATGTTCTCTTTGCTCCATGTTTCATTTTCTCAATTTTTCGATTTCTAGGTTTTTCGATTTTCCAACATTAAAAAAAAATGTATTCTCCAATTTTTCGATGTTTTAATTTTAGGATTTCTCGATTTTTTTGATGTTGCGACTACTCAAATTTTCGATTTTCCGGATTTCGATTTTTCGGATTTTCAGTTTCGTAGATTTCTAAAAAATATTCTGTTTATCGATTTTTCAATTTTTGGATTTTTGAAAATTTTCTTTTGTTTCAAATTCTAATTTTTCGATTTATCAGCTTTTCGAATTTCCAATTTCCCGATTTTTCGATGTTATAAATTTTAGATTTTGCAATTTAGAATTTCTAAATTTTTCGATTTTTTTATACATATTTCGATTTGTTTTTTTTTAATTTTTTCGACTTCTCGATCTTTTCATTTTACGATGTTTATTTTTTGCAATTTTCAACATTTCAGCTTTGGAATTTTTCAATTTTTAGAATTTTTGCGGATTTCGATTTTTAGGGAATTTTTATTTTTTGGGTTTTTAAAAAAAATCTATATCGATTTTTCAATTTTTGGTTTCCTCGAGATTTCGTTGTTTTGATTTTTGTAAATTTCAAACTTTCCTTTTTCAATTTCTAATTTTTATATTTTTCGGCTTTTCGATCTTCCAATTTTCGATTCGATTTTCGATTTTTTAGTTTTCCAAATTTTCGACACTTCATTTTTGGGAGTTTCCAATTTTCCAATTTTTAAATTTTTTGATTCTTCAATGTCTTCGATTGTCCAATTTTTCGATTTTTTGATATTTCGATTTCTGGATTTTTTAACTTTCGAATCTTCAATTTTTGGATTTTTCACTTTCAGATTTTTCAATTTTTCGGTTTTAAATTTTTTTGGCTTTTCGATTGTTCAGTTTTTAACTTCTCGATCTAGGATTATTTCGATTTTTGACACTTCAGTTTTGCGATTTTTCAGTTTCTAGATTTTTCAATTTTTCGATGTTTTTATTTTTCATTTTTCGAGTTTTTAAATTGTAGATTTTCCAATTTTTTGATTTTTCGATTTGTCGACTTTTCATTTTTCGATGTTTCCATTTTTCAGTTTTTCAATTTCCCAATTTTTCGACCATTTAGTTTTTGGTTTTTCAATTTTTCGATTTTTTAAATTTTAGTTTTTGCTATTTAAAATTTTCCAATTTTCCAGTTTTCAATTTGTCGATTTTTCGACTTCAAGACTTTTGCTTTTCTACATCTTTCCATGTTTTCATTTCTCAATGTTTCATTTTCTCAATTTTTCGATTTCTCGGTTTTTCGATTTTCCAATTTCTTCACATTTCAGATTTGAGATTATTTTCTCATTTTGCTTTTTTTCAGTTTTTTTATTCTACAATTTTTCGAAGTTTCGATTTTGGGATTTCTCGATTTTTTGGTGTTTTTTGGATTTAAAAAAAAATTCTATTTACTGATTTTCCAATTTTCGGATTTTTGTAAATTTCGAATTTTCCTATTTTTCAGTTTCTAATTTTTTGATTTTTCGGCTTTTCGACTTTGTAATTTTTCAAATAATATTTCTTCGATTGTCCAATTTTTTGATTTATCGATATAAAGATTTCAGATTTTCGATGTTTTAAATTTTAGATTTTGAAATTTAAAATTTTTTAAGTTTTCCATTTTTTATATTTATATTTCTGGATTTTTAAAATTTTCGAATCTTAAATTTTCAGACATTTTAATTTTTGGATTTTTCAATTTTTTGATGTTTCGATTTTTTGACTTTCTTAAGATTTTTCGGTTTTTCAATTTTTCGATTTTAAAAATTTTTGACTTTATTTAGGATTATTTCGATTTTTCGACTTCTCGATCTTCTCATTTTTCGATTTATCGCTGTTGAATTTTTTTCAATTTTCCGATATTTCTATTTTTCATTTTTTCAATTTTTAAATTTTCGATTTTGGTCCATTTCGATGTTTCGGCATTCCAGTTTTCAAATTTATCATTTTTTTAATTATTTTAATTTTTCTGTTTCCATTTTTTAATTTTTCGATTTTTTTTTTAATTAAATTTTGCGATTTAAAATTTTCCAATGTTTTGATTTTTTGGATGTGTCAATATGTATTACATTTTTTCAATTTTTCGACATTTCAGATTTTTGATTTTTTCTTCAATTTCTTTGTGCTTCAATTTTCCGATGTTTCAATTTTGGGATTTTTCGATTTTTTGATGTTGCGACTACTCGAATTTTCGATTTTTCGGTTTTGGACTTTTTAAATTTTCCATTTTTTTTATTTTTCGATTTCTCGAGATTTTCATATTTCGATTTTTGTAAATAGGTACATATAAAATTCTTCTTTTTTTCAATTTCTAATTTTTCAATATTTTGGGTTTCGATTTTTCAATTTTTCGATTCCATTTTCGATTTTTTAATTTTTCAAATTTTCGACATTTCATTTTCGGAATTTTCCAATTAATATTTCTTCGATTGTCCAATTTTTTGATTTATCAAGTTTTCGATTTTTCGATATTTCCATTTCTGGATTTTTTAAATTTTCGAATATTAAATTTTCAGACATTTTAATTTTTGGATTTTTCAATTTTTTGATGTTTCGATTTTTCGACTTCTTAAGACTTTTCGGTTTTTCAATTTTTAGATTTTTAAAATTTTTAACTTTTCGATTTATCGATGTTGAATTTTTTAATTTTTCGATGTTTCTATTTTTCATTTTTAGAATTTTTAAATTCTAGATTTTTCGATTTATCGAAATTTCGACATTTGACAGATTTTGGATTTTTCAATTTTTCGGTATTCCAGTTTTGAAATTTTTCATTTTTTTTGTTATTTTTATTTTTTTTATTTTTTTGTTTCCATTTTTCAATTTTTCGATTTTTGGATTTGTCGATTTGCCGATTTTAGCCCTCTCGGTTTTTAAATTTTTCGATTTCTCGACTTCTAGACTTTTCGTTTTCTGCATCTTTTCATGTTTTCATTTCTCAATATTAGATTTTTTCAATTTTTCGACATTTCAGATTTTTGTTTTTTTCTTCAATTTCTTTGTTCTTCAATTTTCCGATGTTTCAGTGTTGGGATTTGTCGATTTTTTGATGTTGCGACCACTCGAAATTTCGATTTTTCGAGATTTTTCAGTTTTTTAATTTTTCGATTTCTCGAGATTTTCATATTCAGGTCAGGTCAGGTCGGGTTTTTCAATTTCTAATTTTTCAATATTTTGGGTTTTCGATTTTTCAATTTTTCGATGTTTCGATTTTTTAATTTTCCAAATTTTCGACATTCAGATTTGGGATTTTTCAATTTCTTAGTTTTTTGATCCTTCAATATTTTTGGATTGTTCAATTTTTTGGTTTATCAATATTTTGATATTTCAGTGTTGATATTTTTCGATTTTTTGATTCCACTTTTTGGATTTCGATCTTCAGTTTTTTTAATTTTCCGATTTTAAAAATTTTTGTTTTTTTAATTTTTCGATTTCTCGAGATTTTGATATTTCGACTTTTCATTTTTTTTTTAATTTTAAATTAGCTTATAATTAAAAAAACGGAATTTGTTCAGGATCGGGGGAAGTTCTACTGAAATAACCTTCGATCAATTTTTATTTACTGAAATTTCGTCCTAAACTACATTTTAAATTTTTTTAAAAATACGTTTTTCTATCTTTAAACTCTTCAAAATTTTATCTTAATTTTTTAACACAATTTATTTTCAAGAATTTAAACTTCCCTTATATTGTTTTGTTAAATAAATACTTGGATAAATAATGAAAAAATTCTAACCTAAAACACTCACCTGAATATAATGTACTATCGAGTCCATATCATTAAGCTTCAGTAAAGTCCGCTTATGCAACTTGAGTATTGTAAAAGCCATCGCCGTAATCACCCTCTCCCCATCCAGCAAATGAATATCCCAAATCCGAAGACAAAGATTAAAAGGAACCTAAAACCCACTCATTACACAACGCAAATAACCCTCTCCACCCTTACCCTCTCGACGAAACAAACAAAAAACCACTTCAACGAGTACAAAATCGCGTCGACCCCATGCTTATCGAAGTGCTTCTTCATCTTCGGCAGGAACTTCGCCAATATCCGATCGTGGTGCGCGAGAAACCGCGTCAGCTTCGGGAACCCCTCCTTGTACAGCCCGTGCATCGAGTACTTGGGGTCGGTCAGCAGGACGTGCATCGCCCAGAAGGCGTCCTCCTCGTCCATGTACATCAGCAGCACCCCCGCCAGGCCCGACATGCCCTGGCAGTACCCCACCTCCGAGTTGTACATCGCGTACGCCGTGAGGACGTTGAAGAGCGACTGCTGCTTGATGCTGTAGCGCTCCCTGTAGTGGAGGTGCTCCCGGAACTGCCTGTTCACGTCGGAGTCGATCTGCCTGGCGTCGGTGGAGTGCAGGCGGGCCAGCTTCATCATCTCGGCGTACTTGCCGGGGTGCTCCTTTTTGACCTTCTCGACGTTGAGGAGGCGCAGCCAGGCCTGGGTTCGGAGGGAGTTCGGGATGCCTTTGTAGACGCGGGAGTGGAGTTTCTCTTTGACGTTGGGCGCGTCCCAGTTTTTCAGCATTTTCAGCCACTTCTTCTGGCGTTCTAGTTCGATTTGGAGCTTCTTGGCTTCTTGCGGGTCCACTTTGGATGGTAGACGCTTGTCGTGGATGAACCCGTACCTGGGGAGAGGTTAGGGGTGATCGGGAGCGTTCGAGAACTGGACAGTGATTTGTCGAATCTGAGGCTCGAAATTCGACTATTGTTCCAAAATTTCAAAACATTGTTATTTTTAAAAACTGGAAGCTTACTTAAGAAAACTCATGGAGTTCTTTGCATCAATACTTCAGCTTTAGAGATTAGTTCTACCCCACAGAACGAGTTGTCATTCGATCTAAATTTTCGCTACATTTTCTATAAACTTTTTATATAAAAAGCTATATTACTAACCCAACAGGTCTTCGCATTGGTGCCAGGTCAGGTCCAGTCAGGTCAAATCAAGTACTCGTTAATGTTAAAAAAAATAAATTGACACTTACGGTGTGTCAAAATGTCAAATCGCTGCAATGCCATCATTTTCATTCTTCACATTCCTTAGGTTTTTTAGCTTACTTGAACTCCGTCTAGTAGGCCATGAACGCGTTGGCGTTACAAATACGAAATTTCATAGATTACTAGACGAATTTTTTACATGATCGGTATTTCTCCTTGGATTCCTTGATTTCTTTGGATGTTTTAGATAAAATATTTCACATTTTTTGTTTTTTTTTAGTTTTCTTGATTTCTTTGCTTTGTTTGAATTCTGTGTACCATCGATCCAAGATCGAAAAAAACTCGTCTAGTAGATCATAAAATTTATTTTTTAAGATAAGGATGTTGGCAGTGCAGTTATTTGACCGTAACTGTCAAACCCAACAGGGAACGCGTTGGTGTTGCCAATAACATTTAAATAGTCGTCCATAACATTAAATTTCATAGGTTACTAGACGACTTTTTTATTTTACCGGTATTTCTCCCTGGATTCCTTGGGGTTTTTTAGATTTTTGGATTTTTTATTTCATTCCTTGGATTTTTTTATTGTTATTTAATTCTATGGATTTCTTCTTGGATCCCTTGATTTCTTTGAACCTTTTAGATTTTTAGCTTTTTCACATTCCTTGAGTTTTTTAATTTCCTTCAATTCCGCGTATCATATGATGGAAAAAAAGTCGTCTAATAGGCCATGAAAGGGCTGGTATTACCGATACATTTTTTTATATTAATTTTCATAGGTTTTTAGACCACTTTTTTTATTTCCCCGTGGATTTCTTGGGTTTTTTATTTGTTTTTTTTTATTCCTACTTGATTTCTTGGATTAAAAAAAAAATATTTGAATTCTTCGGATTCCTTAGATTTTTCAATTTCCTTGAATTCTTTGGAATCCTTGAATTCCGTCTAGTAGGTCACGAACGCGTTGATCTTACAAATGCATTTTAAATATTAAATTTCATAGGTTACTAGACGACTTTTTTATTCGATTGGTATTTCTCCTTGGATTCCTTGGGTTTATTTTTTTTTTATTTCTTGGATTAAAAAAAATATATACTCTTTGGATTTCCTCTAGGATTCCTTGATTTTTTTGGATGATTTTTGGATTTTTGAATTTATCACATTCCTTACTTTCTTTTAGTTTCCTTGAATTCTTTGGGTTTCTTGAATTCTGTCTGTCATATGTCCAGTAACATTAAATTTCATAGGTTACTAGACGACTTTTTTTTCAATCGTATAAATTCTTCCTTTGATTCCTTTCAATGTTTCGATTTTTCGATTTTTTTTTTCAAATTATTCTTTTTCGATTTTTAAATTCTCCATTTTTTGAGTTTTCGATTTTCCAATTTTTCGGCATTTCAGATTTGGGATTTTTCAAAATTTCGATTTATCAATTTTCGATGTTTGATGTTTTGATTTCTAAATTTTTCAAATTTTCGATTCTTCAATATTTAGACAAACGTATGAATTAATTTTTGGATTTTTCTATTTTACAAATTTTCAAATTTTTTAATTTTAGGTTTTTCAGTTTTTTGACGTTTCGATTTTTCGACTTTCTTAGATTTTCCGGTTTTTCAATTTCCCAATTTTTCGGCATTTTAGTTTTGGGATTTTTCAAATTTTCGATATTTTGTAATTTTAGATTTTCTTATTTTAAATTTTCCAATTTTTTCAGTTCTTCGATTTTTCTATTTTTGAATTTTTTAAATTTTTAACTTTACGATTTAGGGTTATTTCGATTTCCAGATTTTTCAATTTGTTGATGTTTACATTTTTCACTTTCCCAATTTGTCGGCATTTCAGTTTTGCGATTTTTCAATTTTTCGATTTTTTTTTATTGTAGATTTTTCGATTTTGAATTTTCCAATTTTTTTCAGTTTTTGGATTTTTCGATTTGTCGATACTCGATTTTTAAATCTTTCGACTTTTTAATTTTCGAATTTTTTAATGTCAGATTTTTCGATTTGAAATTTTCCAATTTTGCAATTGTTCGATTTTTCAATTTTTCGAATTTTAAATGCTACATTTTTCAATTTTTTGATTTTTCCATTTGTCGACTTCTCGATTTTAGTCTTTTTAGTTTTTAAAATTTTCGATTTTTCAGTTTTTCGATTTTTTTAAATTTCAAATTATTCTTTTTTCAATTTTTAAATTCTTCATTTTTTGAGTTTTCGATTTATCAATTTTTCGATGTTTTAAGTTTTAAATTTTGCGATTCTTCAATATTTGGACATCGGGAAAAATGGAAAAATTAAAGTCCAAAAATCTAGAAATCGAAGAATCGAAGAACTGAAAATTTAGAAACGCCGAAAGTTGAAAAATGAAAAATGAAGATTCGAAAAATTGGAAAATCGAAAAATTTAAGTTTTAAATTTTGCGATTTAAAATATTTGAATTTTTTGATATTTTGATTACTAAGTTTTTAAAATTTTCGATTCATTAATATTTAGACATGTGTATTAATTTTTGGATTTTTCTATTTTACAAATGTTCAAATGTTTCAATTTTAGGTTTTTCAATTTTTTGACGTTTCGATTTTTCAACTTTCTTAGATTTTCTGGTTTTTCAATTTTTCAATTTTTAACTTTTCGATTTAGGGTTATTTCGATTTCCAGATTTTTCAATTTTGCCATGTTTACATTTTTCAATTTCCCAATTTTTCGGCATTTCGGTTTTGGGATTTTTCAATTTTCCGATTTTTTTTATTTCAGATTTTTTGATTATAAATTTTCCAATTTTTTCAGTTCTTCGATTTTTCTATTTTTCGAATTTCTAAACTTTAGCTTTTTCATTTTTGGATTTTTTGATTTGTCGACTTCTCGATTTTTAAATCTTTCGACTTTTCAGTTTTTGAATTTTTTAATGTCAGATTTTTCGATTTGAAATTTTCCAATTTTGCAATTGTTCGATTTTTCAATTTTTTGATTTTTCCATTTATCGACTTCTCGATTTTACTCTTTTTGGTTTTTAAAATTTTCGATTTTCAGTTTTTCGATTTTTTTAAATTTGAAATTATTTTTTTTCAGTTTTTAAATTCTCCATTTTTTGAGTTTTCGATTTATCAATTTTTCGATGTTTTAAGTTTTAAATTTTGCGATTTAAAATATTTTAATTTTTTGACATTTTGATTTCTAAGTTTTTAAAATTTTCGATTCTTCAATATTTAGACATGTGTATTAATTTTTGGATTTTTCTATTTTACAAATTTTCAAATTTTTTAATTTTAGGTTTTTCAATTTTTTGACGTTTCGATTTTTCGACTTTCTTAGATTTTCTAGTTTTTCAATTTTTAACTTTACGATTTAGGGTTATTTCGATTTCCAAATTTTTCAATTTTTTGATGTTTACATTTTTCACTTTCCCAATTTTTCGGCATTTCAGTGTTGCGAGTTTTCAATTTTTCGATTTTTTTAATTTCAGATTTTTTGATTTTAACTTTTCCAATTTTTTCAGTTCTTCAATTTTTCTATTTTTCGAATTTCTAAATTCTAGATTTTTCAATTTTTGGATTTTTCGATTTATCGACTACTCGATTTTTAAATCTTTCGACTTTTCAATTTTTCGATTTTTTTATGTCAGATTTGAAATTTTCCAATTTTGCAACTGTTCAATTTTTCAATTTTTCGAATTTTAAATTCTAGGTTTTTCAATTTTTTGATTTTTCCATTTGTCGACTTCTCGATTTTAGTCTTTTTGGTTTTTAAAATTTTCGATTTTTCAGTTTTTCGATTTTTTTAAATTTCAAATTATTCTTTTTTCAATTTTTAAATTTCCCATTTTTTGAGTTTTCGATTTATCAATTTTTCGATGTTTTAAGTTTTAAATTTTGCGATTTAAAATATTTGAATTTTTTGATATTTTGATTACTAAGTTTTTAAAATTTTCGATTCATTAATATTTAGACATGTGTATTAATTTTTGGATTTTTCTATTTTACAAATTTTCAAATTTTTTAATTTTAGGTTTTTCAATTTTTTGACATTTCAATCTTGGGATTTCTCGATTTTTTTGGATTTTTAAAAAATATTCTATTTACTGATTTTTCAATTATTGGATTTTTCAATTTCGAATTTTCCTATTTTTCAGTTTATAATTTTTCGATTTTTCCGATTTTTCGATTTTTTATTTTCCAAATTTTCGACATGTGGGAGTTTCCAATTTCTCAATTTTTCAATTTTTTGATTCTTCAATATTTCTTCCATTGTTCAATTTTTCGATTTATCAATGTTTAAAGATTTCAGGTTTTCGATATTTTAAATTTTAGATTTTGCAATTTAAAATTTTTAAAGTTTTCGAGTTTTTGATATTTCCATTTCTGGATTTTTAAATTTTCGAATCTTGAATTTTTAGACATTTTAATTTTTGGATTTTTCAATTTTTTGATGTTTCGAATTTTCGATTTTTCGGTTTTTCAATTTTTTCGATTTTTAAAATTTTTGACTTTCCGATTTATCGATGTTGAATTTTTTTAAATTTTCTCCTTCCATTTCTAAATTTTTGTATATGTTTAATTTTTAATTTATCAATATTTCATTTTTTGAATTTTTTAGATTTTTCAATTTCTCTATTTTTTAATTTTTGAATTTCTCGAGATTTCGATGTTTCGATTTTTGTAAATTTAAAATTCTTTTTTTAATTTCTAAATTTTTGATTT